TTCATAAAGGGCATGGTTTACTGAGAATAAACTTAGCTATAGAGGAATAACCAAGTCAAAAGAAAAAGCCCAAGCAAAGGGAATGATTTGAGTGTTAGGTACGGTAATTTGAGATATCAACCAATTTTGAAATGCATGCAAGTGATGCAAATAGGATAAACCATAATAGCATTTAAATGAGGATCTTGGTGGGTGATCCATGTCGCATGCAATGTCAATTGGGCCTAAAAAGAGTTGGGATAAATTATCCTAGAATACTATGTAGATCATCCTAAGATGTATAATTCCCTTATGACTAGCCCACTAATAAGGGTGTAGATCATCCTAAGAATATCAAAAGCAATGCACATTCTCTGTCTTCTTGTAATTTACATTTTATCTATGCTTTCATTTTATGTTATTTTTTATATTACCAATTTTGGTAGTTTGTTGATTGTACAAAATAATTTAGCCTTCTATTTACTATTTATATTTCTACTTTCAAATTCAGGAATTGGTATATTGCACTTTATATTTTAATCATACTTTTATCTAATGTTATGAGCACTAATCAATTTTTCTTTCTTATTGCAGATGGCTTCTAAAGGATGTAATGATCTCCCTTCGGGCGGGGGGCACAATCAGGGTCATTCTTGAAGGATGACCCCCGTTAGATGGCTAGGCAACAATTACGTGGAGATGAACACTTCTGTGTTGTTCTTTACCTCTTACAACATTGATCTCAATCCCCCCTGCATGCCTTCACCTTGATGCCATCACCCTTACCACACACACCATCTTACACCCCCTCTCCTCCCACCATACTAGCACCACCACCTTCTCTTGTTGCATGTTCAACTTTGGTGGAGGATCATGCTACTGTCATCGATTGAAATGCATCGGGTAGCATGAGTTGCACTTTCGAGTTGGAGCATGTTGGCCATATTTAAGTTTCTTTTTTTTAATGTGGTCCTAATGTGTACATTAAAATTATGTCAGTGTTGATCTTCAAAAGATTTAATGGTCAAGAAGGGAAGAGTTCGGTGAAGTTGGACCTACTGCTATATCATGAAACCTACTTGTTCGATCAAGTGAAGCTGTCCAAACCTTCACAATAAGGCCAAAGTCGAGTGATCCACTATCAAAAAGAAGACCAAATGACATATACGAACCACTTGGGTAGAGATGATGCAAAAGAACACCCATGTTGACCGTTAGATGCAATAGCCAACCTTCCTACAAAACTAATCCAAGGGAAGATCCAGTGAGATGCCTTTGAAGTTCATCACAGGGATGAAGGGTTAACAGGCAAGGCAGATCGGGTGGTTGATCTATGCTGACCAAACTTAGTCAACAAAGCTTATCCTGCTAACTCAAAGCCAACTGAAATTAGCTAGCCAAGCCAAAACATAGTTGGACATTAAGCTTATACATATAAAATACCAAAAATACCATAGTATGAACCCATTTAAAGCAGACGCAAAAATATAGTATCAACATTATGTACCTCCTTCTCTATAAATAGTAGAACCATCTTATGAATAAGACACAATTGATTACGATGGATCACTTTTCATTTTCTCTCTTTCTGTCTCTCTCTGTCTCCTTAATTATGCTCTATTCTTTGGATGTTATTTATGGACATTTCAAGATTCAACATCATTAAAGGTGCGATGAAATAGATCATACCATAAATAAGAAGAGAAGTAGTCCAAGGTGAAGACACATATAATAAATACATTGATAACATGGAGTGCACCAAAGAATTTGTGACCCAATAGATTCTAAAGTTGGACCAGATGTTGGAAGTCATGTAAGGCGTAATGACCCAAGAAAGGGAGCATCAGTATTGAGATGAATGAACAGTGTCCAACGTTAGAAGAGGCCAACCAACCTTCGTAGGAAAAGGAGTCTCTCAGTATTTTGATAGTGTTTGATCGGCACTGATTTATTAGATGCCCCAATAACCTAAGAATGTGTTCTCTTGAAAAATATTTAAGACTGAGCAACCATAATGATTCAATATTCTGACACTGATGTTCTACAAAAGGTAGAATAATTTGACTGACCACATAGCCTTGTTTGAGATGATTGAGTGTCTTCAATGGCACTGACACACTGAAGTGCCATCTTTTCTTCTCGACGCTGAGAGAGTCAGCACCAAATGATTTAATGGATTACTTCCAGGAGTAATCAATTCATTCATTGACTTCAATTGATGTTTGTGAAGTAGTTTGTTAGTGTTCATGAGTCACAAAAAAGCTCACAGGCACGTTTATAGATTTAACAAGGAACGAGCAAGTGGTTATCCTCATTTTATATTAATTTGTATAAGGAAATATTGTAAGTGCATGTCCAGAAGCATGTTGTTGCTCATTCCGCTCTAGCTCAAGAGTTAAAGGAAGGACCCTTCCAATATGTGTTAAACCTACAACGATCGAAAATGCTAGCCCAGCCATGTGAGGACAAAACAAGAGAAAACTTGAATCTATGTGAATCGAGCCATTTATCATCAATAGACGGGTCAGCTTCAGAGTGTATAAGCTAACGTCCTACATGGGAATGAGGTGCCTTAAATATGAAGTGAAGACGATTTGAAGATATTTGATCTTTAAGAAGAAATTTTATCTCAGTAATGAAAATGTGTTATCACTTGTACAATCTCTTTTTTTTATCAATTCCATAAAAATGGCTAAATATTATTCTTCTCATTATGCACACAATCCAAGGGTTAGATTGCACTCAAGAAACTCATAAAGTTTATGCAAGGAATCGGTAGAGTTTACCAAAACTTGGGGAACTCGGGCTGACCCACAGATAGTGGTTCCACCCAAGCAGTAAAACTAATCGTGACAGATCAACATTTGATCAATAAGGCTCTCCTATAAAAACCAATAGTGATGGATAATGTCTAATAGGTAAAACTCACCAAAATAATTAACAATGATGAATAAACATCCAATTAGTAATCAAATAAGTTACATCCCATAATGCTTATGCATCATAAGAACCCATGTCTCATACCTCAAAATGTGTCAAGCTCTGGCGACAAGATTCCCTACCCATTAGATACAAGATCCTCGATGGGTAACATACATTAGCTAAGATAACAACCATCATTGCACAATAGAAAAATGAACCCAAAAAATAAAACTGAAAAACCTCTTTGATAAAACAACATTTGCAACCATATTTATGGATGTACTCACTCAAGAAGAAAGAAAAATATGGTCAATTAGTTATTGTATGTTGTATATTGAAGTTATCCACTTCTTCATTGTGAGCAAATTGATTTGTAAACTGAATGTTGGGAGACAGATGGAGCCCTAAAATGATTGTCGACTTACAGAAAAAAAAAAACACCCTAAAATGATTGTCGACTTACAGAAAAAAAAAAACAAACTAAAGTGAATGATAGGGGAAGGGAAAAAAAGACGAACCTTAATCTTGGGAGAAAATAACGAAACCTAAACTCTAAAATCATAATGAGAATTGAAATGTTTACTGTAGAATTTCAAACGTCAAACATATTGTACTTTGCAACATCTCGTACTTTGCAATTTTAATTTTAATGTTATTTTCTAGACGGGCCGGGTGCGACTTCTCTAATATTTACGTGTAAAATTATTTTTTAAATACCAGACACATGTCAGTTTGGGATTGGCGACCAACTGTAACTCTACATCCGGTCTCCACACATAATATTTTCTCCACCTTAAGAGGGAGGGAGCAATATGTCATGAAGGGGAAAAAATATTACATGCTTAGTCCTGATGTGTCTAAACTTCATGAAAGGAGAAAAAGATTACATGCTTAGTCCTAATGTATCTGAACTAAATATGCAACGATGTTGTACACCTTGTACAAATTGTTGTACAACGTGTACACAATTATTATACATTAATTCCGGATGTTTCAGGACTCTACGCGTAATATTCTCTTCATGAAGGATGGAAACTCAACTAAAGTGCAAGGAGAAAATTAATAAACTTGTTTCAAGGTTTTTTTTTTTTTTTTTTTTTTTTTTGAGCTCCTTGGTTTGGGATTTAGTTTTATTTTATTTTTATTTTCAAAATTCGCTTAAACAGCATGAACAGAATAAGTTATAATTTTACGTGAGTATACTTCCATTAAAAATTCTCAAGGATGCAATAGAAATAATGACAAGGAGTACCAGACAGCTCATGCTCTTCTCATATCCACACTTCTGCTATATTATATATATATTTTCATCAAACGTCCAACTTTATATTGTAATGATACAAACAAGAAGATTTGCATTTGATATATTATTTTAAATTTATTTAAAACTATAGCCTGCCAAATTTGTCCTTTGTGTCCATCTTATATTCTAAGGGAAGAGAGGAGGATATTCTTACACGTCTTTATTTGTAATCCTTGAAAGCCTATTTCAACGATTATAAATAATAGTTAAGCATGCAAAGCATCCGAAGCTATTCTAACTTCATCAACCTCCACATCAATCATATTCAAAAGCTCATAAGAAAAACAATAATAAAAATAGCTATTATCCCATTGGCATATGAGTTACTATCTATATCTATATCTATGTGTGTGTGTGTGCGCGCGCGCGTGCGCGCGCGTGCGGAAAGAAATTTGGGAGGGCATCATAAAGAGTAAATATTATGTGCTGTTGTATTATGTCAAATTGGTCATATTGTGATTTCCACCAAATTTACATCTATCCACACCTATCTTGTCCGCATGGCACGATAGACTTTACATGCAAGCTGAACAAGAATAAATAAAGAGTAATAATTTATAAAATCATAGCCAAATAATTGAGCTATCATTAATGATGATGTGACACAAATCACTATGCTTGCAAGCAATGCAATGGCCTTCATTGTCATCAATCATCATAAAAAATTAAATGCAAGAGCCACCGTATTTTCTCTCAACAAATTTAAAAAAAAAAAGGATGAACAACAATAAATAAACAAGTCAGAAGTGACTTCATTCTTTATTTTCGAATATTAAAGTTTAATTCAATAGGACATCAATATGATCTATAAAGTAAAAAATCACATTCAGATCTAATACAAATATGTGACACTCTGAGAAAGCTCCCTTAGCTTGAATTCTTCAAAAGCATCAGCCCAAATGGTATCAACCGTCTCCTCATAACTGGAACTACAGAGAAGAAGATCAGTAATGGATCCAAAATCTAATTCCAAATGGTTAGGATTCTGTCTTGGAAATCTGAGATCCAACGACTGTTCCAAGCTGCCATTGAAGCTCTCCGATTTGATCTCATCGGTCGACAAAACCGGCACACAGTTGATAAGCGGTTGCGAATCCATCAATGGAGGTGCAGAAGATCCATAATGACCATCAGACATTATTGCTTGAGCTTCCATCAACCTTTTCTTTAACTTAGTATTCCAGTGATTTTTCACATCATTATCTGTTCTTCCATGAAGCTTGGAAGCAATCACAGACCACCTAATTTATTTTTCAAAGAGTATTTATAGCGATTAATAACAGTTCATGGTTCTTATAAGCAAGTGAAACATCCTGGGTAGTGTTATTATGAATCAATTTTGGTTGCTTGAAAATAAAAATATATGTATTTTAGAAAGTTTTGATTTTCATGAAGGGCGTATTTGGTTCATTATGGAATGAAAAAATATTTTAGAAAATCATAACTTTATTTTCTATCATTTTGAGTGTGAAATTGAAACCTTCTCTGAGAAGTTTAGAAGCATTTTTAATATTTAAATTTACATTTCGAACTACAACCAGATGAATAATGGAGCTAGCTAAACTCATTGAATTCAGAACATTTTGTCTAACTTCAAGCAACTACACGAGCCTAAGAAGATTTTACAGTTTAAATCTCATGTAAATTTGTAATTATAATCAACCAAATAGTTTAATCTATCAAAGCATAAGTTTTAAAAAGATAATAATCTATGTACAAGCGACAAAATGGGTCCCTAAGCTTGCAAGACAATCTTCTCTCTTTTCAGAGAATATTTATGCCTTGTAAAAGTAACTCCATAGAGCACCCCTCCTGATTGTTGTCTTGTAATAGAGAGAAATAAATTGAAATCTGGTAAATAATTCTTAGAGTTATTTTTTTTATAAATGCTTCCTATGCAATAAATAAATAAAACTCTCTCGAGCTTTTAGTTTAATCTATCCGTGAAAGGGTTTGTGTAGCTCTAGTTGCAGACAAGATTAGAGAGAGTTATCTCAGATGATTCACAGTAAACGTCGACCATCTGATAATCTGGTTAAAAAAGTAGATATTTTAGATTCAACTTATGCTAAGCAAGGCAGAGGTAGATAAAAAAAAATTAGGCATATTGTATAAAAATTGATCTTAATCTATTAAAATTAAATGAAAATATGACACTCATCAGGACACAATGGAGAAAAATGATTGATGCAGCCGGCCCAACTTGGTGGGAAAATGGCTTGTTGTTGTTGTTATTGTTGCTGCTGCTGTATTAAATCATAAATTTCTTATAATCGGATTTTTGTTAATTGATAGCACCAAGGATGTGAGAAACTGTAATTTTGTAATATGACACTCACAGGTTGGTATCAATGATGAAGCAAAGCATAACTGCATCAAATAATAATAACAATTATCATCATTTATAGCATATTAGTTCAAATCTCAAATGTAAGAATACCTGCTTCCTATCTTACTGTACAGAGTGAAAATCAGATCGTCTTCTTCCTTGGTGAAGCATCCATGCTTAATGTTTGGCCTAAGGTAATTAAGCCATCTAAGCCGACAACTCTTACCACAGCGCTTTAAGCCTTAATCAGACCCCAACAAAATCAAACAACACTTTCAGCCATTTAATCAAACAGAAGAAATGCAATAAAAGAGCAATCTTGTACTTGTGGGCAGCTAAAAGAGAGAGAAGGCGAACAGAAAGTTACCAGCTTTCTTGGGAAGAGCAATCCAGTTGCCTCCTGAGCCATGATTCTGGATGTAGCTTCTGAGAGCTTCGTCTTCCTCAGGAGACCATGGTCCCCTCTTCACGTTTGCTTTATCACAGCAAGGAGCTCTTCCCATAGATAGAGAGAGAGAGAGAGAGATACAGAGCAGTGAAGAAGATGGCCGAAGGGCTGTTTAAAAGGTGAAAGGAACTTGGTTTAGAGTTTCACGGCGATTTTCTACCGTTTGTCTTTTGCGCTGTTGTCAACTCATTGAACATAACAAAAATTTCGGATTTAAATAAATAACCCGGAAAACTTCACTGACATGGTATCAGCAAAAATAAAAGGAAATTAGAGCAGGCGTGTGTACTAAATATAGATCTAAATCAAACAGTTTTATTGATTTGGTTCAATTTTTAAAAATACTTTAAAATTTAATTTTGAAATATCCAAACTTTAGCCGAAAACCGAGTATAGAGGGCAAAGTGGTGGAACTGGCAAAGACCAAAAACTTATTCGAGGACGGTATTTCGGCGGAAGATCAAAGTTATTTACTTAAGGAGACGGAAGAGTTAGGGTTCGCTCTCCATTTCGATTCAAAAAAGTTGTCCAGCAGCCTGCACCCCTGCGCTGCTTGCCTCACCCCCAACAATGATTGATTCGTGCTTTGTGACCTCTGTTGTTGGTTGCTGGCTCGCTTCAATTAAGAGGTTTGCTTCCTCTTTGGTGTCAAGGTGAAGGTAAGGGTCATAAGGCTCGTGCAGGACTTTAAGGAGTCAATGGCGGAAATGGGAAAGTCAGGGAGGCTTGAGGAGTCTTGGTCATCTTTGGATATCTCGATTTGGAACCCCAAGTATTTTCATGCCCTTGCTTTCCCGTTCTAGTTGTTGCCCTAGATTCCTTTACTATCTCTGCTTCTACACCTCCATCTTCTATAACGAAGGTATGCACTTTTTAATCCTAACTAAGCATCAGGGTCACTAGGGTGAACTGTTGAAGAAATTTGTGGGTTCATTTTGATATTCTCCATGGTTAAATGATGGATTTACATATACTATTCAGTCTTATTATTTTGTTTTAAGGGATCAAGTTGAATGATATGCTTGAAGATAAAAACGGCTACAAGGAAAACATATCAAAGTGGCTTGAGAACGGATTTTTCTATTTTTATATGATGGAAAGCAGATTTTGATTTGATATACTTTGATTTGGTCACTCATTTTTCTTTTCTTTGGTATGTTGTTATCGTAGATTTTGATTTCTCATGAATATTCTCGTAGTTTGATTTGCTTTCTCACATTTCTTTTCTTTGATATGTGATACATACATACATACATAGATATATATATATATATATATGTGTGTGTGTGTGTGTGTGTGTGTGTGTGTGTGTGTGTGTGTGTGTGTGTGTGCTGCATACTCAGATTAGTTGGTCGGACATCTGCTTGTCAGTCTTAAATCTTCTCTGGTCTGAAGTTTGATTCCCCCCAAATGTTTCTTAAGCGCATGTGAGATGATCGGGGTTCATATAATAACCTCCGACCATTCCTTTCAAAAAAAAGTATAAAAAAATAAAAAACTATAT